CACACACAGACAGCTGAAACTTACCAAGGAAAAATCACAATCTCAGTTGCATCCTCAGTGCTGAGAACACTTCCCTCCTATTGTTGAAGACCTATTACATCAACTGTACTTGACCTCCAGTCCCTTTCATTCCCTCAGAGATTTCTCTATCATTTATTCCCAACCTTTACTTTCATCTTCATTGACTTCATTAGCTCCTTATCAACAACTAATAAATACACTTGAGTTTATCTCATACTAAAAAGCCTTTTGTAACTATGTCTACATCAATTTCCCCTTCTCTCCCTTTTTGATCACAACCAAGCCACTTAAACAAATAGTCTACACTAGAGTGCAGAAAAGAGTTAACAAGACTATTTGCAAGGTTCACCCCTGGAGGGCATCTGGGAACCTGACTCTGAGTGTTCTCAGTCAACTGGTAAGGGTGGTTCACCATACCTAGATTATTTGTACAAATAATACAGTTTGTGCTAAACAAACGCTTTCTTTCTGGGATCCTGGAATTTTGGTACCCAGTTAAAGACCTCAGAGAATCAGAAAGACAGTAAGGACGTGAAGGGCCAAAAATTCAGAGGGAAGGGAAGCCCAGAGAGGTGAGCAAGACATCTGGCACAGCTTGTCCCCTCTAGGATTTTCCTCTAGAGGCACTGTTTCAAAAATGGTAGCTGAGAGGCTAAGAAGCTGAACAGAGCTTTTAGCAATATAATAGGAATGGCAAACAAAAACTGGAGTTACAGGTCACCAAGGAAAAAGAGTCCTGTTTAATTCTCCAACCTTTCAGTTAGGATCCCTAAAAGGCTACAATCCAGGAATTAGAGTAAACCAAAATAGACCAGTCCCCAAAACTAAAGCCTAGCTTCCAAACAATTCAATCCTCAGTTAAAATGTTCTGCTGCTAAAGTAAAAGTAGGAGCAAAAGTAAATCCTCTCTGAAAGAAAATAATATGATCAGAGTCTCAAATTATTTCCACAGTTTTTAGTAAGTAGTATCTAGTATTCAATCAAAAATATCCAAATGTTCAAAAAAAATGTTTTAAACTACAATCGACTAGAACTCAAAAGGGCCCAATAAAAACCAAAAAATACCTACAGGAGATCTACATATTATTTATTTGACACAGGCTTTGTAAAAACTGGCAATATATATGTTCAAAAACTTAAATGACAAAATGAAGAATTTCAGCAGAGAACTGAAAACCATTAAAAAAATAATTCATATGGAAATTCCAGAAGTGAAAGTAAAATAACTAAAATTAAGTACTCCATGTGTAAGTTTAAAAGCAGCTTAGGCCAGGCAAGGTACCTCACACCTGTAATCCTAGTACTCTGGGAGGCCAAGGTAGGAGGATTGCTTGAGCTCAGGAGTTGGAGACCAGCCTGAGCAAGAGCAAGAGCTCATCTCTACCAAAAACAGAAAAATGAGCTGGGCGTCATGGTACGTGCCTGTACTCCCAGCTACTGAGGAGTCTGAGGCAGGAGGATAGCTTGAGTCTAGGAGTTCCAGATTGCAGTGAGCTATGATGATACCACTGCACTCTATGACAATAGAGTCTTGCTCTGTCTAAAAAAAAACGAACAAAAAAAAGGCAGCTTAGACAAAGTTAACAAGGAAATTAGTAAACTCAAAGACAGATAAGAAGAAAATATTAAAACTAAAAAATGAAGAAATAAAAAGACGGAATATAGAAAAGAGCATAAGAGATTGTTCAAAAGAAGAAAAAAAAGATCTATTGGTACTGGGTTAAGTAGAGTCCCACAAGGAGAAGAAAGAAAAGAATGGATCTGAAACAATATTTGAAAAGATAATGGCTAAAAATTGTCTAAAACTAATAAAAAAAAATCTAGCCACAGATTTAAGAATCCCTAAAACACCATGCAGAATAAATATAAGAAAACCACACGTAGAAACATCATGATGAAAATGTTGAAAATCAAAAACAAAGACAGTGTCTTCAAAGAAGCAACAAGACAGCTGACTTGTCAACAGAAATGTACTGTAGAATGATATCTTCAAACCGCTGGAAAACAATAACTGCCAAGCACCCAAGATTTCTATGCTCAGAAGAAACTTTATTCAAAATTATGTCAAAAAAGATATTTTCTGTTCTGATAAGGTGAATCTTCATCAATGAAAAAAATAAAAAAATAATAATAAAAAAGAAATTTAAAAAAAGATATTTTCCCACAAATACTAAGAGACTATGTCACACCAGATCCACATTAAAGGAAATACTAGCTCTTCAGTTAGAAGGAAAACTATCCAAAACAGAACCACAAAAATATGTGAAAGAATGAAGAGCACAAAAAGGGTATATATGTTACGTGTAACTAATAGTAATGTATAAAAATGTCTTATAGGGTTTAAAATATACATAGAGTTAAAATACACAATACTAAAAAAGAGAGGAAGAGGTTAATGGTATCAAAGGTTCTAAGATTCTTGCATTATCTAAAAAGTGGTAAAAGTACTAACAGCCTTTAACAAGTCAAAGATGTATATTAAAATCTTTGGTAACTACTAAAAGAATAGTAAAAGAATGTATAACTAACAAGCAATGAGTGGAGAAATAGAGTAATGAAAACCACCACAAAGAAGGTAAGAAAGGACAATAGAAAGAAACATACTACATGTGGGACAAAAAAAATAGTAAGATTAAATCCAATGTTATCAGTGCATCAAATATACACAGACTAAATAATCTTATAAAAGTAAAAACTGTTGACTGGATAAATAAAACACAGCAGCATGATGCTTGTAAGATATACACATTAAATAAAGGTTGAATGTAAAAGGATAAAAAATATTCCGTGTAAACACTATCCAAAAGAAATCTTGTAAAAGCATACTAATATCACATTTTACAATAGTAAAAGATACTATAAAGATAAAACAATATTTTATACATATTTATACATCAAATAATACCACCTCAAAATATAAAAAGGAAAACCTAACATAACTACAAGGAGAAATAGGTAAATCCACATTCAGAGTGGGAATTTTTTCTTTTTTTTTTTAGCTTCAATAGGATATCCTTAGCTTCATGAAAGTGTGGAATTTTTAAAACACTCCTTTTAGTAATTGACAAAACAAAACAAAAGAAACTAAGTTTGGAATTTTCTTTTAAACATCATATTTATTTTCCCTAAAGAAACATGTCCATCGTGGCTATTTTTCCTCTTAATGCTGCTTCTGGAGCTCATTTGCAACTATAGAAATTTAATGGTACTTGACAATATTAATATAAAACAGATGTCATTTTTTTTTTTTCCACGTCAGACGGGTAATGTGCCGATGTCGTAACAAGGTTTGAGGGAGGCACATCTCACGCATGCGCGTGAAGACCCAATCATCATGCTTATGAACTACAAAAGGATCAACAGATGTCATTTTTAAGACACTTAATAAAAAAGACACTGGCAAAAAAAAAAAAAAAAAACCTGAAAACTTTATCACATTGTCCAAATTAATAACTTTGTTTTAAATTCTTTTATAAGATGAATTAGAATTCAAAACACCTGTAAGCATATACTCATGATTAACGTTACTCTTAAAAAGTATACCTGAATTCGCTTATAAAAATGACATAAGAGGGTACTCATCTATATTTTATGCTATGCTATTTATTCAACTTTCCTAAGAGTATAACTGTTATTTTTCTAAGTATGTGATTCAGTAATTTCAGATATTTAAATTTAGAAAATAGTAAATTATACTAAGAGAATAAACTACTTTTAAAGTTATGTCTATGCTCCAAAGCAATTTATACTTTTCAGTGGACTTATACTCTTGAAGTTTAAAATGTGTAAATACAATTAAAACAATGTTTTTCAAATAAGGGACTTTTTTAAAAAACCAAAATAAGACCGGGTGCAGTGGCTCACGCCTGTAATCCTAGCACTCTGGCAGGCCAAGGCAGGTGGATCGTTTGAGCTCAGGAGTTGGAGACCAGCCTGAGCAAGAGCGAGACCCCGTCTCTGCTAAAAAAAAAAAAAAAAAAAAAAAAAATTGAAAGAAATCAGCTGGACAACTTAAAATATATAGAAAAAATTAGCCGGGCATGGTGGCACATGCCTGTAGTCCCAGCTTCTTGGGAGGCTGAGGCAGGAAGATTGCCTGAGCCCAGGAGCTTGAGGTTGTTGTGAGCGAGGCTGACTGACACCATGGCACTCTAGCCGGGGCAAGAGAATGAGATTCTATAAATAAATAAATAAATAAGTAAGTAAGTAAGTAAGTAAATAAATAAATAAATAAATAACCAAAATAACTGTTATGATTTACATAAACAAAAAAAAAGGCATTTTCTTCTTTGCCTGTGAACCACTATCTACTAATAAATGAGTTGTAGTGTATTACTGTTCAACCATAATATACCACACACCTTAATTACTAACTTCGTGAACTCTTAATTACCTCCACTTTCCCTAACTTTCCCCTTTGGCCTAAACCATATACTCATGTATGTACAGGTATGAACAGTACTTTTCCTCTCAAGTTTCCCTATCCTTCAAGGAGAGAGCTCCTAATATTCTTAGTTAGGTCTTTTATTTCTAGATAAGATTAATAAATGTTGGCTAGAGAAGAAGTGAACGTTTTCTCAGTTTAACTTTATGGGAAGTATGAAAACACCACCCATGGTGAGAGGGAGGATTAGAATTCATATATAAAGTCATCTGAACTCCGTGACAATTCTGTAAAGCATTAGTAAAAATTCTCACTAGATATTTATCTGAAATCTCACAATACTTTGTAAAGAAATACTAAATTCTCAATCTAAGAGTTCTTTGGTTTACCAGAGATACAAAAAACAAGATGAATTTACATAACTGCAGTTTTTCTCTTTGAAAAGACAGACTCATGGCTATCAATAATCTTTAGAAATAGCCAGAATGAAACCTTACAAACCTAGCTAAAGAAACAAGGCCAACATTCCATTTTCACAAATCTCAATAAGCTTGTAGAAGAAGATAAAGACTATTATAATATTTTTAAACATTACCAGTTTTAACCTTTCTTTTCTCCTTTTGCCAAAGGAAGCACTTGACCCGGGTTCTGATTCCTTTTTTCCATCCTCATCCTCATCTTCATCTTCATCATCCTCAAAACACCAATCTGGTAATAGAGGTGGGGGTGGTGCTTCTTCTATATCACCATAGCGACGAAAAAGCTCCTTCAAATAATCACCCTTATAGATTCCTGGTGGTCTGGCTTGGGCAAAAGTAGCAACTGCTGCTTCAATACTATGGGAAACAAACACCATGCAAAGTCCTCACTATTCTACATTTATGCAGACTTACCAAAACTCACTTTTTATATTCAAGACACCATATAAAGTAAACTAGAAGTTTATAAAATGGACAAGTCACAGTCCTCATCCACAAGGCATTCAATCTATTAAGGGACAAGTTCATTCTGATTCAGTTTTAATATAAGGTACACTGAAAATTCCTAAACTCTAAAAGTAAATTGCTATGAATATATAATAAAGACCTGCGTAGTATCTGAAGAATTTAAAGTCTTAAAGGTTGAGTTCTGAATGTAAGGGAAAACAGCATTCAAGGAAATGTGAATAGCAATGTGAACAAAAGTAAAAGCATGTTGGTTTTACAAGAACTTCCAACAGACTCAGGCACTTAGGAGTACAGGTCATCAGAGAAAAGCTAAATATAGGCTGAGTCAGACATAGGAGCCTGGGGTTACTGTGTTGAGCATCTGATTAACCAGAGCTAGAAAGTATGAGCAATAGCAAACCTCTGAAGATGTATACTGGAGAATGTACAATCAGATGTGTACTTCAGCTGATTACATTCAAAAAAGTACCAACTGTGTGAAAGCCTTTGTAAACATAAATGATGACCTTCTAGTATTCCATGGTGTGTATAAAAACTAAAATAAAACATATAAACAAATAATGACCTTCCATCAGTCAAAGAGAAAATTCAGTTAGTAATATCTCATTCTCTTAGGATTATCAAGAAACTAAGGATCTAATCTCTCAGGATCTAAAATCACACTTCTCAAATAACAGATGCTCAATAAAGACATACTGATTGGTTTAAGTGGAGTAACTCTCGCCCAAAAATACTTCCTTCATACAGCATTGTGAGCTTCTCCTAGTATTCAACAGCTATAAAAAAGATCCTACAGGTTGAGTATCCCTAAACCAAAAATATAAAACCCTTAGGGTAGAGAGAACAGAAAGAAAATAATAAATGAAATTTTTTTAAAAAAACTACTCAAAAATGTGAAATCTAAAATGCTCCAAAATCCAAAACTTTTTGAGCACCAACATGACACACAAAGGAAATACTCAATGGAGCATTTCAGATTTTGGATTTTCAGATTAAGGATGCAAAACCAGTAAGTATATTCCAAAAATCCAGGGGAAAAAAATCTGAAATCTGAAACTTCTGCTCCCAAGCATTTCAGATAAAGGATGCTCAACCCGTACAAAAAAGGAAAAGAACAACAACAGTAACTTCCCAAGCTGAATACAAACACAAAATATGGGAAGAGGCTATCTCTGATAATACTATAAGATATGAAAAAAAATCTGAAAAGTAAATATATTTTATGGGATTCATAAGCACTCAAAGTGCTACTTAGTATAAAACACCAGGTTATAGTAGTATAATGATTATTATATCTAAAATGAAAACCATTACAAATTATATTCATCATGAGTTCACCAAAAACTTGGCAATATAAAATTCTACAACTAAAATATTAATAAAATTTTTATTACAAGATATAAATACCTCCAATCCATTTTCTCCACCAAAAAGGCACATATGAGGAAACCAGTGCGATTAAAACCATGGGTACAGTGAACACCTAGAAAATAAAGTAGCTTTTGTTTAAAATTAATAAATCACTTCAGAGGCCACATTTTACTTTAAAATTCCAACCTGCAATCAAAACATTTCGGTCATTTTATAAAATAACTACATTTTAAAAAGCCTTGAAATACCATCTCTTATAACTTAATAACTTGTCAGCTTAAATTGTTTAGAATGTAATTTATAGCTACACGTTTAAAAATAATATATTGATTTATTGGTTAAAAACGTATCTCTACTGTCTAAAGATTTCTCTTAAATTAAAAGATTCCAAACATTTTAAACAAGGAGGTACTTTCATCAAACATACAACTCAAAACAGACACCTCTGCTCCATGAACTCTGAATAAATTTTTTCCAGTATTCCTCTTACGATCGATAGCACACATTTGCAAGAGAGGTAAATCATATTTTTAAAAATCCAGAAACTAGAACAAAGCCAATAGACTACTGGAAATATAAACTCTGGAGGTGGATACCAATTGAATGTAATCAAAAAAAGCTGCTACAGAAAATAATTAATTGAAAGATATACAGTACAATAAAAATAAATGCTCTGAGGCTGGGCATGGTGACTCACACCTATAATCCTAGCACGCTGGGAGGCCAAAGTGGGTGGATCCTTTGAGCTCAGGAGTTCGAGACCAGCCTGAGCAAGAGTGAGACTCCATCTCTACTAAAAAAATAGAAAGAAATTAGCTAGACAACTAAAAAATATATATACAAAAAAAAAATTAGCGAGGCATGGTGGCGCGTGCTTGTAGTCCCAGCTACCTGGGAGGCTGAGGCAGGAGGATTGCTTGAGCCCAGGAGTTTGAGGTTGCCGTGAGCTAGGCCGATGCCATGGCACTCTAGCCTGGGTAACAGAGTGAGACTCTGTTTCAAAAATAAATACATACATACAGTGAATCTTGATTGTGATTTCACTAGTGTCTACATCTATAAAAACACAAATAAATGGTGAGGCGTGGTGGCTCACACCTGTAATTCTAGCACTCTAGGGGGCCAAGGCAGGAGGAGCGCTGGAGCTCAGGAGTTGAAGACCAGCCTAAGCAAGAGTGAAACCCCATCTCTACTAAAAATAGTAAAAATTAGCCAGGCGTGGTGGAGCACACCTGTAATCCCAGCTACTTGGGAGGCTGAGACAAGACGATCACTTGAACCCAGGAGTTTGAGGTTGCTGTGAGATAGGCTGACACTACTGTGCTCAGGTTTGGACACGCTAAGTTTAAGATTTTTATGGGACTTTAAAATATTTGGAAATAATGGTAAAGAGCTTCAATGAGAAGTCTGACAGGTGCTGTAGATTCAAGGATAATCAGCATAGACTCAACTACAGAAGGCTTCTGTGATATAGATAAGATCACTGAGAATGAGTACATAAAATAAGAATATTAGGGCCGAGCGCGGTGGCTCACACCTGTAATCCTAGCACTCTGGGAGGCCGAGGCGGGCGGATTGCTCAAGGTCAGGCATTCAAAACCAGCCTGAGCGAGACCCCGTCTCTACCATAAAAATAGAAAGAAATTAATTGGCCAACTAATATATATAATATAAAAATCAGCCGGGCATGGTGGCTCGTGCCTGTAGTCCCAGCTACTCGGGAGGCTGAGGCAGGAGGATCGCTTAAGCCCAGGAGTTTGAGGTTGCTGTGAGCTAGGATGATGCCACGGCACTCACTCTAGCCTGGGCAAGAAAGCGAGACTCTGTCTCAAAAAAAAAAAAAAAAAGAATATTAGGGATGGAATCTGAGGAAAAGCAACCTTTCAACAATAAGTGAGAAAAAAAGAACCATAAAAGACAACTGAGAATGAACTGCCATGGGATTAAGAGAACAAAAAGTATAAAAGGTCATGTATCCCAAGAAAAGAGAAAGTTTCAAGATATGAGTGTTCAACTGTTTAAATGTCACATAATTATTAGAATTGAAAGTCACTATTTAATGAAGAGTACTGAGCAAGGACTCTAGACAGCAATGAAGTGAAAAGGAATAAATGGATTCAACTGGAAGAAAAGTATGGGTTTTCTTTTGTTTTGTTTGGGGGGGTGGATTATATAATAAGCAATGCTTAGGTATGTTTACAAGCTCAGGATAAGGATCTAGTTAAATCACAAAGGTTGACAATAATATAAATGATATAACTGAAATGAAGTTTCTGAAGGAAAGAGATGAAAAATAAAGAGATCAGCCTTGAACAGAAAGACACTCCTTAAAAATAAATAACTGTGACCATGAAATTCCATAGATTCCATTATCTCCATTCCTTTGTAAGAAAAGGTGTTTCAAAAAAGTCACACAAAGATGTAAGCTGTAAACAGATTTTTGTATTCATGTTTCTTCTTTTCTACCTTCTATTTTAGACCAATTCAAGCAATATTTCAACCTTAGATAATGTTTCTCACCTAAACCAGTTTTTATTCCAATTTTAACTCTCACAAGATTAACAAAGTATTTTTACAAATAGGAAATGTAGGAATAATTGCCAATGAAGTAATATGTCATGTGAAGATACATAATCTAAGAAAGAACTATTCTTCTTTTAATATTTTTTGCTATGCAAATATATAGTTTTAGTCTTATTGTTCAATTATACTTCAAAACATTAATAGAGGAGTGAATTTAAAGTAAGGGTTCTAAACTTACAAAACTCTCACCAAAACAAATCTGTATCCATCATTGTAAGAGGCTGAGGCAGGACTACTTGAAGCCAGGAGTTCGAGACTAGCCGGGGCAACATAGTGAGACCTCTATAGAAAATTTTAAAAATTAGCCAAGCATGGTGGCACACATCTGTAATCCCAACTATTTGGGAGGCTGAGGCAGTAAGATCACTTGAGCCCAAGAGTTCAAGGCTGCAGTGAGCTATGATCGCACCACTGCACTCCCACCTGGGCAACAGAGCAAGACCTTGTCTCAACAAACAAACAAAAAATCTCTATAGAAAAATTTGGAAGATTATGTATTTGATGTAAAAAAAAAAAAATCCATTAAGCATACTACAAGCTTAAATATATCTTCAGTGTTAAAAAAAAAAAGCATTTTTCAGTTTTCTTAATTTCATTGCAACAATGGGTCCATCTAGTGGCAAGTAAACCACAGTTTATAACTAAAGATTAGCTCACTATTAAACTATTTCAAGGCAATTTCTATTCAAATGTATCTTCATTTTCTAGGTAAGCTAATAGAGCAAAATAAATTTATATGACATTTACAGTCAAATTAGAAACAAACTCCCCAACAAAGGGAGAGAAAGATGAACTACATCTATATAAAAATACATGGCTAAATATATAATATAAATTAGAAAGGGATAGTTTATAAAGGGCTGTTGGCAAATCTTTTTAAATAAAGCCTCGTCTCAACATATACCATTTCCTTTCTATCTCACTACCCAGATAAATTTTTCTGATAAAAAATGTATCTGGTCAGTCTAAATCAGTGGTTCTTGATGGGGGGCAATTTTGCCCCCCATGAGACATTTGGCAATGTCTGGACACAATTTTAATTGTCAAAATTTGTGGGGCACTGCTAGTATTTAATGAGTAGAGGCCAAGGATGCTATTAAATACTCTAGAATGCAAGGATAACCCCTCAAAGAATTATCCAGTCTAGAATGTCAATAGTGCTGTGGATGAAACAATATAAGTGATATATCTAAATGAGGAACAAAAATGGTAAAAACAGAAAAGGAAACTAACAATTACTAAGAACCTATTATAAGCCAAGTATTTTAAATATTTTTACTTAATCAAAAGAAATGCTTTTTACCAAAATAAACATGTGCTACTAATGAAAATACATAGCCACAAATCTGTTGCATGTATGTATTAATATAACTAGAAACACCTAAAATAATTAGAAGCATTAGCTAAGCCATGTATCTGTTATACGTAGCCCACCACTTGCCAAGAAATCAGCTGTTTCTCTTCTAACACAAAACTTATCTTTATACCCATGTCAAATTAAAAAAACAAAAAAAAAAAACTTATCTTTAAATTTCTCTAGGCCAGGTGCGGTGGCTCACGCCTGTAATCCTAGCACTCTGGGAGGCCAAAGCGGGCAGATCACTCAAAGGTAGGAGTTTGAGACCAACCTGAGTAAGAGCAAGACCCCATCTGTACTAAAAATAGAAAGAAATTAATTGGCCAACTACAAATATATAGAAAAAAAAAATTTAGCCAGGCATGGTAGTGCATGCCTGTAGTCCCAGCTACTTGGGAGGCTGAGGCAGAAGGATTGTTTGAGCCCAGGAGGTTGCTGTGAGCTAGGCTGACACCACGGCACTCTAGCCCAGGATACAGAGTGAGACTCTGTCTCAAAAAAAAATTTCTCTAGTCCACAAAATTCTTACTCTCAAAATAGTTTATTTCAATACATGCAAATAAATGCACAACAGCTCCATAATCTCTTCTTTGTAATTATAATTTCAAAAAAGCTTTGAAAAAAATTAAGTTTCTTGGTAAATCATTTAAGGACAAAACCTGACCTGAACTGATGTGATATTATTTATAGTCTACTTTTCCTACTCAGTGTGAATTAATATTCATATGTTTAACTGCAGAAATGTTAATCTGTTTAATTATGGGATGCTTTCTAACACCCAGATTATCTCTAAATACTCTTTTCCACTAAAAGGAACCAGGCTCCTTGGAGAAATAACTGATTCTAAGACTGGAAAACATCTTTTGCCAGAAAACAACCGAACCATCAAAGACTACTGGGGTGGCAAGGTGCAGTGGCTCACACCTGTAATCCTAGCACTCTGGGAGGCCAAGGTAGGTGGATCATTTGAGCTCAAGAGTTCGAGACCAGCCTGAGCAAGAGCGAGACACCATCTCTACTATAAATAGGAAGAAATTAGCCAAACAACTAAAAACAGAAAAAATTAGCCAGGCACAGTGGTGTGTGCCTGTAGTCCCAGCCACTTGGGAGGCTGAGGCAGGAGGATCCCTTGAGCCCAGGAGTTTGAGGTTGCTGTGAGCTAGGCTGACACCATGGCACTCTAGCCCAGGACAACAGAGTGAGACTCTGTCTCAAAAAAAAAAAAAAAAAAAGACTACTGGGGTGATATCAAAAGCAACTTAAAGGGGCTCCCCGTGGCCTAGGAAGGAGCAATTCTAGACATCAGAATAAATATTAGCTCCAACTGATTTAAATACATCAACTATATAAAAAGTTATGAGTTCATAGATACTCTAAAAAAAATTAATCAGTCACAACCAGAGATTACTAAACTACCAACTCATTATTCTGAAAATTGAGAAATAACAGGAAAGAATAAAATATTTAACCTGCCTTTCCAATACAAACTATGTTTCAGGATAACCAAATTGTTGAGAAGGAATAGTTCTTTGCTAAAGAATAATCCTAGCTATTCTAGCTAATATATGAAGAAATTAAACAATGTGAACCTTTTGCAACCCCTAATGAAATACTGGACCTAGGCAACAATCATCAATGGACACTAAAATCATTAAGTAAAAGATGAAATGGAGAACTTTATAACAGAGAAAACAAGCTACCACAATTTGAACCCAACATATTCATCTTATTACCACTAAAAGTGAGACAATCAGACATGTGCTTCCCTATGTAGTGTAAAAGAAAGTACACAATACCAACTATGAAGTATTCTTGCCTAAAACTCTAAAAGTGAATCTAATTATGTCTCTAGATTTAACTACCAATTTACAAGACATACAGGAGATAAGGGAACAAGTTAACTGATACCATGAGGAAGCAATCAGATAAACCCCAGAATGTGGAACACTTTACAGAAAAATGACCTGGTTTCTCCAACAAATTGATGGCATTAAAAAAAAAGAGAGAAAATCAAAGAGACTTTAAGAGACAAACAACAAAATGCAATATGTGGATACTATTGGATCCTGGTTTGAAAAACAAACTTTAAAAAGACACTTTTTACAAAGGACATGAACAGAAACTTTCCAAAAGACAGAATAATGGCCAACAAACATGAAAAAATGCTCAACATCTCTAATCATCCGGGAAATGCAAATTTAACCACACTTATCTCCAGTGAGAATGGCCCTTATTAACAAGTCCCAAAACAATAAATATGGCATGGATGTGGAGAGATAGGAACACTCCTACATTGATGGTGGGACTGCAAACTAATTCAGCCTCTGTGGAAACAATATGGAAATACCTTAAAGCGATACAAGTCAATCTACCATTTCATCCAGCAATCCCATTACTAGGCATCTACCCAAAAGAACAAAAGTCACTCTATAAAAAAGACACCTGTACTCGAATGTTTATAGCCACACAATTCACAATTGCAAAGATGTGGAAACAACCAAAGTGCCCATCAATACATGAGTGGATTAATGTGGTATATGTATACCATGGAGTACTATTCAGCTATAAGAAACAACGGTGATATAGCACCTCTTGTATTTTCCTGGCTAGAGCTGGAACTCATTCTATTAAGTGAAGTATCCCAAGAATGGAAAAATAAGCACCAAATGTACTCACCAGCAAATTGGTATTAACTGATCAACACCTAAGAGGACATATAGGAATAACATTTACCAGGTGTCGAGCAGTTGGGGGGAGGGGATGGGTATATACATATATAATGAATGCGATGCACACCAACTAGGGGATGGACACGCTTGAAGCTCTGAGGGGGGGAGCGGGAGTGGAGGGGGGGGCGGGGGCAATATATATAACCTTAACATTTGAACCCCAACAATATGCTGGAAAAAAATTAATAAATAAATAAATAAAATGACACTTTTTAGATCATTGAGAAATCTAAAAATTAGATGACATAAGGAATTTGTAACTATTCTTTTAGTATAATTATTGCATGGCGATTAAATAACAATCAAAAGTCTTATCAGAGATGCATACTGAAACATTCTTAGTAAAATGACATAGCTGTGATTTGCTCTAAAATACAGTTTGAGGTAATGGAAATGCTAATTACACTGATTTGTCGTTAAACACTGTATACAATATAAATGATCTGCTTTTTTCAAATATGTGTGCTGATTCCAGAGTTTGGTTTGGTTTTTAACCAAAGAGGCTGTGATGAAATTCCTTTCACATAAATTTTTATGTCCATCTCTGACTACTACTTCCTTAAAATAAATTCTTAGATGTGCTCTTGATGAGTCAAAGGGCATGAAAACTTGTAAGGATCTTAAGAAATATCACGAAGTTGTCCCTCCAGAGAGGCTATTCCAATTAACACTAACAATGTATGAGTACATCCATTTTATCCAATCCTTGACCACTAAAAGACATAATTTTTTACATCTTTGCCAATTTGGCATTGGGGGGGGCATAACAACATATATTTTAATGTGTATCTCTTTATCAAATGAGAATAAAATTTTTTCTTTTCCTTTGGTTTCTTGTATTTCATATTTTATAAATCACTCTTTAATTGTTTACCATATTTTTCTACTGAAGAATACCTCTTTTGCTTGTTGGTTTATAAGATATCTTTGTAAATAAGCATATTAACTTTTTACCTGCCACATATGCTTCAAATATTTTTCCCAATTTGTCAAATATCTTTTTGCCTTGTTTCCGTTGTGTTTTATGATACAGAAATTTTTCACTTTTATGTGGTCAATCTAGAAACCAGCATGGCAACTAATTAGAGAGTTAGACTTTAAAAACCTGGCTCAACCACCTGTAAGATGCATAACTATGGGCAAATTACTTAACTTCTCTGAGACTCAGTTTCCTTGCCTGTAAAATGGAGATAACACCACATAGCATTGTTACGAGGATTACCTTTACTCATTCATTGTTTCCCACTGTCACTGGGCAAATAATAAGCATTTGTTAATAGCAGTATTACCATTATCATTAATAGCCACCACATTTTAAACTTTGACAGTAGTTCTCAGATTTAAGTGTGCATAAAAATCACCTGAGACCATTATTTTCAAAATCTAGATTCCTAGCCAGGAGCAGTAGCGCATGCTATTATAGTCCTAACTACTTGGGAAGCCAAAGTGGGAGGATCACTTGAGGCTAAGAGTTGAAGGCTGTATGTAGTTCACTGTGAGCATGTCTGCGAACAGCTGCTACACTCCAGCCTGGGCAAAACACTGAGACCCCATCTTAATTATATAGCTATGAAAGTTAAATAATATTAATATAAAACTAGTATACACCTAGATTCCTTTTTTTTTTTTGAAAGAGTCTTATTCTGTTTCCTGGCTAAGTGCTGTGTGTCAGCCTAGCACGCTCCTCTAAGCAACTAACGCCCAGCCCTCCGTGTAGCTGGGGACTACAAGCATGTGTACCGATGCCTGGCTATTTTTTCTATATATTTTTAGTGGCCAATTAATTCTCCTTTTTCTTTTTTTTCTCTTTTAGTAGAGACGGTCTCGCTCCTGCTCAGGTGGTTTCAAACTACTGACCTTGAGCAATCCCTGCCTCGGCTTCCCAGAGTGCTAGGATTACAGGCATGAGCCACTGTGCCTGGCCCCTAAAACATTTCTAACAAGTGCCCTCAGGTGATTCCCACTAGACTTACCTTTTTAATGCTTTTAAATTATTAAATAAATACATTTCTTATATTCTACAGTCTTTTTAAAAATTTTGTATAGAGCCCCAGGGCCATAGACAGCCAATACCACCATTATCTGTATTATGCTTGCTTGCTTGCTTGAAGATGGAAATTTCAGTGACGCCTCTATCTGACCCCACACCCACCTCACCTGGACCTCTGCTAGTGTGAATAGTTTAGGAAACTAAGGAGAAGGTAGTGCATTAGGCACAACTGCCCACAAAATGATAGCCTCTAGGGTCCAGGGTCAGGAGCGCCCTGGACCCCTGAGTGCGCCCTGAACATGACTTTGTTACCAGCGGAATGTCGTCTGCTTAGATCACAAGATGGCAGGAAGATGTATCACATAAGACTGATCTTCCAAATATAGGATACTTCCTCTGGGCGAAACTGGCTTCAACCATCTCAGGCTCAACCCACCTGTGTAAACGATAGATTGTAGATGAGCATATGAAAGTGCTTGCTAATCAGATTTTTAGAATGCGTTTTTTGCCTTTAAAAGGGGGCCATTTTTCCATTCTCACTACCACTTTCTGTGCCTGCCACACTGCAGGACAGAAGTAGTCCTGTCCAGTAAATAAAGACTCACAATTTGGCCCAATTCAGTTCTAGTAGGTGCTCTTCTGACTTCGGACTAAAACAATTTAATCCATCTAAAATGTATTGATTTTATGGTTGGCTAATTGTCTGAACATTTGTTGAATAATCACACCTTTCCCCTGTAATTTGAAAACATCTTCACCACCAGGAAAACTACTGTTGTAGTTTCCATTGGTTTACTGTATGCTTTAATGATTGGTAAAAAAAAAAAAAAAACCCTTACCACTTTTGTTTTTCAAATTTTTTTGCTCATTATCTTGCCTGTTTGATTAGCCAAATTATTTTTTTCTGTGTACAATAAATATTGGAGGCAGTGGATTTTCCATATTAACTTCATAGTAATTCAGCCAAAGTCTCATCAGAATTTTGCTTGGAATTACATTAAAAATTTAAAATTAATGTGGAAACAAATAATGTCTCTCCATTTCCTCATGGCTTCATTTTAATCTTTAAAATATTTAATATTTTCTTCATAAAAACCACCTAAAATATTCACCAGTAGTAAAGCCAAACATACATACCTATAAGTTCAGGTGGATTTCTTTCATTAAACCGCTCACACAGACGAATAAATGCTTCAGTATTCTCAGTTGTAGGGCATTCACCATGTCTAGTAATATGGAAAAAAAATTTTTTTGAAAAAAGAAGAGATTGCAAATTTCAATGAACAGTTTCAATATTAAAGAGTCTTAATATATAACTTACCCTTTACACTGAAGTTTTATATATTTGATTCCTTCTTTTTCTATGTCATTTCTGTCATAGAACCTTGAAGTATTGGTCAAGTCTACCAACAAGCCCATTTTAACCTTAAAAAAATTAAAATAAAAAAGGACAGATTTACTAGTAAATTAATTTGTTCCAAAACAAGTTGGCTAAATGGCAATACTATACAGTTCATCCATCCACAATGAGGGAGATTTCATGTTCACTATACCACTGAATAACTGACAATAAAAGTATCACTTATGGCCAGGCGTGGTGGCTTACACCTGTAATCCCAGCACTCCAAGAGGCTGAGGCAGGAGGATCACTTGAGCCCAGGAGTTTGAGGTTGCTGTGAGCTAGGCTGACTATGGCACTCTCTAGCCCAGGCAAGAGAGTGAGACTGTCTCAAAAAAAAAAAAGTATCACTTATCCAAATCTTATTCAGACACTAGAACTTAGTAGGCACTTGATGAAATAAATGAACACCCAAACAAATGAAGGAACTAATAAGCAAGCAGATTCCACTCCCAATATCACAATAGTTTATACAATAAAGAAAACATTGCTTGTGTTTTCTTTCTTTTAAGAGATAAGACTCTTGCCAAGTGGCTCAGGCTGGAGTGCAATGGTGCAATCATAACTCACTGCAACCTTGAACTACCAGGCTCAACCAATCCTCCCACCTCAGCCCCAGCCTCCTGAGTATCTAGGACTATATGCATGCGCCACCATGTGTAGCTACTTTCTTTTATTTTTTATAGAGATCCTCTCTTGCTATATTGTCCAGGCTGGTCTTAAACAACTGGCCTCAAGTGATCCTCTTGCCTTGGCCTTCCAAAGTGCTGGGATTACAGGTGTGAGCTACCACACTCAGCCTGCCTGCATTTTCTGCATCTACCTCTTCACCTATGATTTATTAGACAGGAGGCTACAGCAGGAATAGCATCTATCTGAAATACACAACTCAAGTTCTAAGCACACACCATACCAGCATTCCCAGTAGCCACTACCAATGACTGTTAGTAACTATTGACTACATCACACCTTATCCCAAGCTTAAAAGATGAGACAAGCTATTATGTCATACATGTATCTATAGATATATCTCCCCCTTCCTATTTGATGAATAACCCTTCTATCTATTTTCTAAAAATACTCTGAGGCCTACAGTTATATTTTTTCAAAATAAGCAAGGTTAAAAATAGAGACTCTTTATTAAGAAGATAGCAGTATGGGAAAGCAATTTCCCTCTTCTCTTCTTGGCTATCATATTAAAATATGTAACATAAAAACAAGGTAAATGGTTTTTAAAAAAAAAAATAAACCAAACCTCATTTTCAGTGAAACTAAGAGGAATATAATACCACGCAATCATAAAAAATGTCTAAGTTCTACCTAAAAAAATTAAAAGCACTGCAGAACCTATATGGGAAGGAAAATAGGAAAATCAGACCCACAACCTACAGATTTTAGAAAATGCCAACAAAAAAACATTTCCTATAAGAAAAGAGCTCACCCAAAAGTGGTAGACCTATCTCTCATCTACGTTAGAGCTAAGAAATCTAGAAGACTGGGCAGATTACAGTGAAGTAGAAGCAATGCACGGGGGAAAATGTAATGAAGACACACAAAAATAGTAAAAATGACCCCATGTCAGTAAATCTTATAAAATGCCAACATAAATACACTCCATGAAGGAACCATCCAGGTAAATCAGTAAGGGACTAACTAAATAAATTATGGTACAGGTTGAGAATCCCTTACTTGAAATGTTTGGGACCAAAAGTGTTCCAAATTTCAGAATTTGAACATTTGCATTAAACTTACCAGTTGAGCATCACTAATATGAAAATCAAAAATCTGAAATGCTAGACTAGTAAGCACTTCCTTTGAGCATCATGTTAGTGCTCAAAAAAATTCAGATTTTGGATTAGGGATACTCAACCTGTACATATATTAATGGAATACTATGAAGATGTAAAAAAAAAAAAAGAACAAAAAGTTCTTTATGTATTAATAGTACATTCAAGATCTTCATATGGTTAGTGCTCTGGGAGGCTGAGGCAGGAGGATCATTCAGTTTTCAGGAGTTTTCGAAACCCAGGCTGAACAAGAGCGAAGACCCTTTGTTTCTCTTACTTAAAAAATACAGATTAAAATTCATTGATAACTAAATATATATTATATTATATTATATTAATGTTATTTATATAAAATTTATTATATTTTTATATTATTAATTTTATATAACTATATATATAAAAAAACATTAGCTGGGCATGGTGGTGCATGCCTGCAGTCCCAGCTACTCGGGAGGCTGAGGTAGGAGGATCACTTGAACCTAGGAGTTTGAGGTTGCTGTGAGCTAGGCTGACACCACGGCACTCTAGCCCAAGCAACAGAGTGAGACTCTGTCTCAAAAAAATAAAAAGGTCTTCGTATGTTAAGTAAAAAAAGTAAGGTTCAGACCAGCACATATAATGTGCTAACTTTGGTACAAAGGGGAGAAAATAATATCCTGTATTTTTTGTTACTTACATATGCATAAAGAAATTCTGAAAGGATCCATTAAAAAATCTAGAAACAGTATAATCTACGAGGAATGTGGTAAGGAATTAGATAAAGGGCAAAAGTGAGAGGGAGATCTCACAATCCCAACTTTTTAAACTTTGGGATTTTGGAACAAGTGGATGTATTCTCTATTTTTTAAATTAAAAGAGAAATATCATTAATGTAGAAACATATCTTAGGCAGTTAAACTCTCAAATGAGTAAATAAGGTAAAAAAGTCTCTACAGTCAAAATTTCCTCGTAAATCCTTTGAACAACCAATAAAGAACAGTACACATTAGCCATATTTATACATCTTACTGGAGACTTAATTCCATCTCTCAATAAGTCCAGCACATGCCAGTCTTTCTTCCTAGATTGGAACAAAAGTTATTTTTTATTCTGCTGAACATTAACTGAAGTTAGTGGCTTGTGTTCAGGGGCCATGTGGTACAAAAAAATATTTAAAAACTCGAATCACATTCAGCCTGGCAAGATAGTCTAGGAAATGCACACCTGAATTGAGCCAAACAAAGAAACAGTTAATTCACATATCTTCCACCTCATTCTGAAGTATATACCCTCCAGAAAGAATGGCAAGAGAAACAATCTACACTTTTCTCTCTTTTGTTGTTGCTTTCATCGAGTACCTATTGTTGGATTTGCCTAAAGGAGATTGGTCTACATAATGATTAGATTCCATTGTTAGAAGATGGGGAAAATGGCAAAAACATTTAAATTTCACAGAACAGACAAAAATGTATACTTCTAAAATATAACTAGCTGCCATAATGTGCTCTACTGATGTCTTCAGAGACTACATATTGCCAGACTCAAAGATTTAGATACCATTTTACAACTTCTCAGTGAAATAGATTAGAACTCCTGTTGTTTGTCTCCAGGTCCAAAATAAGCAGCAAATGAAAAGTGGTGATAAGCAGGAAAATTTGAATTTTCTAAATACATAGGAATATTTTAGCCAAGGAAACTGAAACTGTATTGTGTAACTTAACTGCCCCAAGCTCAATATATATGAATGTATTAATGTGTGTGTGATGAGTTTGCACAGACGTATTTATGTGACTGCATGTATAAAAATATATATACACATACATACCCACATACACAAATTTATTTTTCATAACAGATCATCCCAATCCATAAATTAAGAATAATAACAGTATGTACTTCACAGAGTTGTTGTGAGATTTAAATGAAGCCCTTACTCTGTGCCAAGCACTGTCCTACATGCTTTACTGTTCTGCATGCTTTACATGCACTAATTTTTTTTTTTTTTTTTTTAAGATGCGGGCACTTGAGGCCAGGCACAGTGGCTCGTGCCTATAATTCTAGCACTTTGGGAGGCCAAGGCGGGAGGATCACTTGAGACCAGGAGTTCAAGACCAGCCTAAGCAAGAGCAAGACCCTAGTCTCTAAAAAAAATAGAAAAATTAGCTGGGCGTGGTGGCACATGCCTATCGTCCCAGCTACTAGGGAGGCTGAGGCTGGAGGATCACTTGAGCCCAGGAGTTTGAGGTTACAGTGAGCAATGATGACACCACTGCACTCTAGCCAGGACAACAGAGTGAGACCCTGTCTCAAAAAAAAAAAGAAAAAGATAAGGTAACTGAAATAAGAATATATTGTATAATTTGCCTGCCAAGCTGTAAGTAGCAAACTGGGATTCAAACCTAACCTATGTGGCTTCTAAATCCCAAGCTCTTAGCAACTGCTTAGGAAATATTAATAGTCTATAAATGTTGGCTATGATTTTCAATATGAATACTGATAATAAAATTAAAAGTTTATAAGTAAGCTAAAATAAAAGATATAAACAACGACTCAAAGCTACACAGAGAAAAGAGATGAATAACAGGTTTTTAAAATCTAAGTGGCTACTTGTCTATCCCATGATATGAGCCTTGCACATAATGGGCACCGACATTCATTCAATGTATAGTATACAATAAGAGACTACCAAGAATAAAACAGCAACAAAGACTGGTATTGTGGGTTGAATATGTCCTGTAAAAGGTTGGTTTACGGTGTCCTTCTAAGAAGAGGAAAACCTGAACACAGAGACACAGGGAAACTATCTAGTAACCATGGAAGCAGATACCGGAATGATGGAGCTGCAAGCCAAAGAACAAGGATTGCAAGCAAACCACCAGAAGCAAGGAGAAAAGCATGGGAAAGATTCTACTTCCAAGCCTCCTGAAGAAATCAACCTTGCCAACAACTTGATTTCAAATTTCTAGCTTCCTGAACTGAGAGAGAATAAATGAACCACTCAGTTTGTGGTAGTTTGTCATGGCAGCCCTAGAAAACTAATACAACTGGCATTATGTCAGAACAATGTAAAAAAAAACACAAAGTTTCTACTTGGTGGGCATAAAAAAATGGTATAGCCACTTTGGAAAATAGTTTGGCAATTTCTTGTACCAGTAAACAAGTATTTACCATATGACCTAGTAATCATACTCTTGTGCATTTATTCCAGAAAAGTAAAGATTTATGTTTACACAAAACCTAAATAAGAATGTTCACAGCAGCTTTATCTACAATACCCCACAATTGGAAACAACCCAAATCTCCCTCAACAGAGAACAGTTAAACTTTGGTACATCGATACAATTTAATACTATTCAGCCATAAAAAGGAATGAACTTTTTGTTGATGCATGCAATAGTTTGGACATATCTCAAGAGGCATTATGCTTAGTGAAAAAGCCAATCCCAAAAGATCCCATACTATGCTATTCCATTTATATAACATTCTCCAAGTGACAAAACTACAGATGGCAAACAGATCAGCAGCTGCCAAGGTACAGGGCTGGTGAGAGGGTCTGACTCTAAGGGTAGGTAGCATGAGGGAGATGAACAGTTCTGCAACTACCACAATGAATTTACACATGGGACCTAACTGTACAGATGTATACATACACATACACAAATAAATGCATATAAAAACTAAATAAAGGGGCCGGGCGCTGTGGCTCACGCCTGTAATCCTAGCTCTTGGGAGGCCGAGGCGGGCGGATTGCTCAAGGTCAGGAGTTCGAAACCAGCCTGAGCAAGAGCGAGACCCCGTCTCTACTATAAATAGAAAGAAATTAATTGGCCAACTGATATATATATAAAAAATTAGCCGGGCATGGTGGCGCATGCCTGTAGTCCCAGCTACTCGGGAGGCTGAGGCAGTAGGATCGCTGAGCCCCGGAGATTGAGGTTGCTGTGAGCTAGGCTGACGCCCTGGCCCCCCCTTTAGCCTGGGAAAAAAAGGGAACCCTTTTCCAAAAAAAAAAAAAAAAAAAATGCTAAATAAGGTCTACAATCTATAATAGGTAACAGTACTATACCAAGTCAATTTCCTATTTTTGATACTATACTACAATTATATAAAGAAGATGCAAGAGAAGGGTTTATAGAATTCTATGTATAATTTCTGCAATTTACTGAGTCTATAATATTTCAAAATAAAAGTTTTCTTTTTTAAAAAAAAAGCCATCTGAAGAACAAAAGAAAGGTAAAGTATATTAAATCAGAAGCAAAAAAAGTTTTATCTCTTACCTTTAGACTCTTCAGATAATTCGAGAGCATACTGGGATGGAACCGATTTTCTTCAGCAACTTGACTATCATATCTTGGTCCTAACATTGTCTTCAGAGGTAAGAATCTTCCTAAACAACATTAACATAAGTAATAATTTTCATTAAAGAAAATGTTCCAGATTGAAACCCTATAATTAGCAATTTTCAATGTAACCTTCTTAAAACATTTTAAATGGAAAAATGATCTGTAAACGCAAGTGTTTTCTCAATCTAAACTATACTTTTAAAAGATACTGGAACTTTTAAGGACAAAAAAATTCTAGAATTTGACAATCAAATATAACTGCAAAAGAAAAAGTACCAGTAAAGGGAACTTCCATAAAGACTCTAAGTTTTACACCACTACATTAAAAACTTATTGATCTAAAGACATGGACATAAAGAAAAAAAAAATAATAATAAAAAAAAAAAAAATAAAAACTTATTGACTCACATCTCTTAAAGATATGGTCCTAGAAAAGTGATAATGAAGTAAATTAAATCAGTTCTTTAAAATTTCTGATTATATAGTTTTTAATATGAAGTTGTAACTTCCTCCATCTTACGGACCTTATCCTACATGTCAGGATAAAAATCAGCATGCAACCATGCTGAGGATGGTAACCAAAATTGCTCTTCAAACACTACGATGATTATAATTTCAGCAAAAAATGACTGACCTTTTTTGACCTTTTTTTCCCTGAATCACAGTATAAGCATAGGGGAAGTCACTTTGTGTAATCAATTTTTAAATAACCTATTTTTGACTAATTTATTATTTTCAAATGTAATAAAGTCAATAATAATATCAACCTAAAATATCTAAGTGAAGTCTTAACATCCATCCAGAAGCTTTAACCTAAATTTCATGAAAGGATAACTTTGTGAAATTTTGTTTTCAACAAAACTACTCAAAATCACCAATAAACACATTGTTAAACCCAATAGTCAACTCAGTTCTCACCTTACCAATCTTTTTTTTTTTTTGAAACAGAGTCTTACTTTGTTGCCCTGGCTAGAGTGAGTGCCCTGGCATCAGCCTAGCTCACAGCAACCTCAAACTCCTGGGCTCAAGCAAATATTCTGACAATCATCATGCGTCGACTGTGTTATCCTAGTGCACAGATTTCAACAGTTTTATATCTATTTATTAGAGTATAAGATATAATCTGATATTGATCACTGATAACATGGTCCTCTGCTAAAAAGTTCATTGTCTAGAATTAAACTGCCACAAGTGATTCTCATCTTGGCTATGGAAAAGTGCGGAAGTACTTGTATAAGTCATACAAAAACAATATTGTATCCCACATTAAGTAGACAATATGTATTTACTCTAGATCAGTCCTAATCTTACCTTCGTATCTATTGGTGTGTTCACTAACCTACCACAATAAAAGTGAATATCCTATTAGTTACACCACTCCTAGTCGCGACTAATTGATTAGTTATTACTGTTTCAGTTGGCTATTATTACTGAAAGTCTTTAGTATTACCCATAATATTTTAAATAACATCAATTGACTGCTTTATAGGGCGTACTACTTTACCACTGTAATATGATACATTTGCAAGAATCCTTACGAGCTCATGATATATGTATAAGCCATACCTCTCTCTCTTAAATAGATATAGACCCGATATATTAACCATATACAATATACTTTTTTTTGGATTTCCTCTATTATAGTTTATACAATTAATATACATTTATAACTTATATTTATGTATTTCCACAAGCCATATCTATGTTTTTTACTATACCATTCTATCTTTCACATAATTATGTGACGGAGTTGATTAGTTCATCAATTCAAAGATAGAGCTAAATTAAATGCCCACCCTCCGCCCCCCCCTCCCGCTCATTGAGTATAATTTTTTACAGCGTCAATGTCACAAGCATTTTCACGGAAATAGATTCCAATATGGGAAACCATCTTGCTTATCCTATAAAGGAAATTCCTCCATCTGTTCATGTTGTTTTTTACTTATTATTTTTTTTTTTTTTTTACAATGCTTACATTTTATGGTTCAAGCATTCAAGTTTTAACTCATGAGACTTGCAGCAACTTCAGTCACATCTTCAGGCTCCACTTCTAATTTTAGTTCTCTTGCTGTTTCTACCATATCTGCAATTATTTCTTCCATGGAAGTCTTGCACCTCTCAAAGTCATCCAATGAGGGATGGAATCAACTTCTTCCAATCTGTATTACTAGTTATAGTTTGATCTCCCATGAATCATGAATGTTCTTATTGGCATCTAAATGATGAATTTTTTCCAGGAAGTTTTCGGTTTACTTTGTAAATTTGTAAGCCATTATTAGCACACTGATAGCTTTTAAAGCTTGGAGAATAGATGGTACCCTGAGGGAGTGAATGCAGATCAAAAAACGATTGGTGCCGGTTGCGGTGGCTCAGGCCTGTAATCCTAGCACTATGGGAGGCTGAGGCAGCGATTGCTGAGGTCAGGAGTTCGAAACCAGCCTGAGCAAGAGCGAGACCGTCTCTACTAATAGAAAGAAATTAATTGGCTAACTAATATATACATAGAAAAATTAGTTGGGCATGGTGGCGCATGCCTGTAGTCCAGCTACTCAGGGAGGCTGAAGCAGGAGT